GCCTCCTGCGGCTCCCACTGGCCAGGAACAGCGGTGCGCAGCCAGCGGGAGCTGTGATCGCAGGGACCTGCGGAGGCCCAGGTAAATATGGTGGCTGCAGTTTGCCACCCTGCGCTAGCACTGCCCAGATCTCTTGGGAGTCGCCCTTCTATACACTGTACCACTTGCACAGAAAACGCCAGCCCAGAACCTGCAGATCCGAGCAGGGTCCCCACGGCCCCAGGATGAGACTGGCGAGTGAACGTTGCTGCTGGGGTGAGCGCGGTCCCTGGCCTTGCGGGGGCACGTACCATGCCAGCTGAAGGCAATGGGCGCTGCGGGTGCGCAGCCTCTCTGCAAAGCAGGCTCTGGTGTGTGCACCTGGGAGCCCTAATCAAGGGCCAGGTTTGAAAAACGTGACCCAGTGTTCCGAACTGAGCAGAAACTGGCCCAGGTGGCCTGTCTCCCCTACGAGTGCCCCGGCCTTCGTCCCGCAGGGCAAATGAGCGTGCTGGCCCACCCCTGGGAGCAGTCCTGGAATGGGGCACACCCACGCTCTCCAAGCAGCAGTGCTGAGCCGAACGGAGCCGCTCTGCAGCCAATGGACCTCACTGGCCCTCCTTCCCTCCCCTCCCCACACACTCCACCCGCCCCCAGGCGTAGCAAAGCCTTGGCGGGGTTTCCGGGGATGCTGCGTCCCCTGGGCCTGCACACGCCGTGGGGGCCAGGATTCTCGCGGTGACACATCCATCCGGACGGTCACATCTTGGCCAGTCTCTCCTCTGCTCCGCCCTCGGTGCGAGAGGGGGTGTGGGCACCTCTGGGACATGAGATCAGTCTGTTCCACACTCCGTCGGCCTGTCCGCCTGGCTCCCACGGACGTTCTAGGTCGCTCTTCGCCAGCGCCGTCAAACTGGCCCAAAACATCTCGATTCAAAAATAAACTCTCTAGCCAGGCTCTGAGGCGCTACATTAATATTCCCTCTGTGGGGGGGGGTCCCTGAACCAGACAAAGGAGGGAATTTCCATTACAAAGACAGAGAGAGGGGGCTGGAGTGAAAAGCTTCATTAGACTCCGAGAGGCAAAGTGATGGCAGTATACCAAGGTCACTTCTAATTTAGACCATCTAATTGGCAAACATGGCTCCAAATGGCTATCATCTCACAGGGCTCAGAATTAATGAAGCCCGATTATTTTCATTACCTTCATCCGAGCTGGAGAACGAGACACAGAGTGAGAAAGGGGGAGGGAGAGGGGCGAGAGGGAGGCAGAGAGCAATAAGGAGACCACAGAGCGGGAGAAAGGAATGGAAAGGGGAGAGGCTGGCAGAGACAGGACAGAGGGGAGAAAAGGCAGAACAGGCAGCTGGAGACAGGACGCGAGACACCTGGCGGAGGGGCGGAGGATTTACGGGGAGGAGCCGGAGGCCTGGGAAGCTGGGACTCCTCCTCCTTTGAGCCCCTCTGTCTTGGCAGTCGGCTCTGGAAGCGAGTGCACGTCACCCTCCTTGAGCAGCTCAGCCAAAGCGATGCCGGTCCAGGGCAGAGGAAACGCCGAGTAAAACATGTTTTCACGCAAATCCAGAGCCTGCATGGAACACGGCCAGAGCTGCCTTGGGGCTCCGGGCCAGAACCCCTCTTGCGGCTTCCCAGGCCACTGGGGCCAGGGGCTGAGCCTCTGCCCCGTCACGGTCGCCCGGGCGGAGGGCTCTTCCCAGGGCCGCTCCCGACGGCGGATGGACGTGAATGGGAGAGGGCCCAGCACACGGCTCCGAGACGCAGAGAACAAGCAGGCAGCCGTTACTATGGCAACAGACATATTAGCCACTGCAGGTTCCTGAGAGGCGTCTGATAAGATATTATTAGCCGGAGCCTCCTTCAACGCCGAGCGCAAAGACAGCATGTCCCACGCAAGCCGGCTCCCGGCTCCGGGGCTGCAGGTCGCTCCGAGCGGGGCCTGGCCTGCGGCCGACAGGGCTCTTGGCTGGAAGGAGCACGTCTGGGGGGTTCCCACGCCCACCACAAAGCGGGGGGGGAGGGGGTCTCTTCGTTTTTTAACAAAGCTGTTTGCATTAGCAGGAAAAGGTCTGCCCGCCCCCATCCCTCTTCCCCTGCTCCCTGCTCCCCGGAGACTGCCCCCCTTCTGGAGGGGCTGGAGCACTCCCGGCGCCAGGCCAGGAAGTCTGCCCCCCGTGGGAGCGAGGGCCTGATCTGACCCAGAAGCTGCATCCACCTAAGCAACCGCTCGCCCTACAAGGGTCAAGAACTGGGCATATCGAGTTCAAGAAGGCGCGTGGCCGCGAGAGGGCCCGGCCAGCGCGTGCCGACTGACACAGCCTTTTCTAAAGCAGTACAGGTGACTGGCACAGCCTGCGCGTGGCCACAAGGCCTCCCCCGGCCCCATTCCTCTAGGCTGGCAGGCCCCGTCCCCGCCCCCTCTCTCCCAGCACCTCCGTGAGCACAATAGGCAGCCCATCGGCTTGGTGGGCCAGCGGGGGCCACGCTCAGGGAAGAAGGCGGTGCCAATGGATTTGGGCTTGAGGGGCTATGGTGACAGGGCCACGTACCTGCAGTGCAGAAGCTGGGGCTTGGGCTGGAGCGTGAGCATCGGGCCCTAGAAATGGCTCCAACCTGCACCTGAACATCTCTGTAGCCCAGGCCCGACGAGCCCGAGTCCGCGGGCCAGCTGCAGGTGCTCACTGTGGTGTGCACCCAGGCGCTGTACGCACAGCTAGCGGGCACGCTGTCTCCCCAGCACCCTGGCACGTCGGGGTTGTTTATTATTGTTTTCACGGGGAACAAAAGTGGCCCACATTTGGCATTTATTGGGGCAGCAACGGGGCCTGCCGGCACGGGTAGATTTGAGGTATTTGAGGAGCATGGTTCCCCCACGTGCTCCGACCAGCACCGACTGCCATGCCCAGCATCACTTCGGGCATTTACTGAGCTGTCCTACAGTGTGAAACCTCCAGCCCACCAGGAGCAGACATGGCACAGGGAGGGGGCTGGAAGCTGACTCGGAGGGACAAGAAACCCTGGGAAAAGCAGAAGAGGGACGGAGAAATCTGACAAGCAGGCAGGCAGGAAAGAAAGAAAGAAACCAACAGGGAAAGGTGCTGAGGAAGATCATGTGCTCGCACAAACAATGCAAGAGAAGCGTGGAGCACTGGCCATTTTTTCTTGTCCCCTGAGACTGGGATCCTGGACCGAAAGGTGAGCCAGAAGTTTATTTGTATTGTCACCATGCTGAAAAGCCCTAGGGCGGCCAGACTGCGCTCCATGCAGACATCAGCAAAGCAAGTACCCGATCAGGCGGTCCACAGCCAAGAGAACGTCGCTTGTACAACAGGCCTATGCAGAACGGCAGCAGAGCACCGCCGTGTTAGAAACGCACTACAGAGGACATTTCCCATCATGCACTGCCATGGCAGCTTCCTTCTCCAGTTACCCGGGGACAGAATGCTGGAGAAGGCTCCCATTGTCGACGGCGCAAGAGCAGAACTCCGTGCTTGAGGCCTAAGCACTGCTGTGGAAGGGGGAGAAAAGTTAGACACAAACATCTAGCGACCGAACCAGATTCACTGATCTCAAGTTTTGCTGCGCTCAGGTAGAAACTGCTCTGGTGAAGACAGTCACAGCCGCCCAAAGTGCAACCCGCCCTGGAGAGCCAATTACAAAAATGGATGTTTCTACCTACACGCTTCCACGGCCTTAGACCCGCGGTGGTTTCCATTCCATGGACACGTCCTTCGTTTCAATGGCCTAAAGACCTTCCCACTTGAGAGAAGTTTAACTGAGTACCCTGAAAGTTCAGTTCAGAATGAGGCACTTCAAACCCAGAACGTACAGGATTCTACAGCCCCACGTTATCCATGTCACGTGGCTGTCACAGCTGCCTTGACAAAAGCAATCTGCTGCTGCGGAAGTGTTATGTTCTGCAGGACTGAGTGATTTCTCAGTGTAGGAACGGACCCTCCTTCTCTCTGCCCCGCCATGCTGAGCATCGATACCGCGTCCCACGCCAGCTGCTCCCTTCCTTGGGACCAGAGTGAGACGTGGCAAAGGCAGGAACTCCCCACTTCTCCCAGTTCAGTTTTACGCACAAACCCAATTCCCGATTTCCCGCAAACGTGGCTTTGGCAGCCCGTGGCTGTGGAGTCTCATGAGAGCAGTAAGGGGGCAGCACTGGTTCTCTTGCACACCGCGGGCGACAGTGCCAGACGAACCGCTGCCCCTCTCAGAAGCCTCCACCCTGGGCCTGGTCTTTGCCAGGGACTTTAGAGGGTTACGGGAGAGCACACTTAACTAGCTACTGTCTCCCATCCCCAGGCTGGCTGGCTCTCTGACGGCGCCGAGCACCACCGCAAGCCGGGGTAGGCTGCAGCTGGGTACCACGGTCGGTTCTTACATCAAAGCTAGTCCCAGCCCGTCTCTATGGCCACGGCGGGCTTGCTGGGAAGGCGCACGCGGGTGCCGGGACTTACCGTCATGATGAGTTTTTCCACACAGTCGGGCGACACGCTGTGCAGGTGCGTGAGGTGCAGCTGCAGGTGGATCTTGTTGTTGAGCATGTCCTGGCAGAGCGGGCAGCGCAGCATGGGCTGCACGGAGTGCTGGGTCATGGCATGGACCCGCAGCCGGTTCACATCGGTGTTACTGTACTTGCAGTAGGGACACTGATACAGCTGTAGGGCGAGAGGAAACAGCCCGCTGACTGGACCTGCTGGACGCTCGTGCTCGTCTGTGCCCCACCACCTTCCGAACAACCTCCCTGTCCTCTCAACGCCGGGGAGGGGACTCATGCGGCTTCCCTGGGGTCGCACCGGGCCCGGCCTCACCTGCTCGCCTTTGGCCTCCTCCGAAGCCTTGGACCATTTAGAGAGGGGTGGCTCGGAGCTGCTGGGAAATGACGTGCGTTTGGAGGCCGCGGGAGAGTCTGTGAGCTCCTTGTCTGCCTGGCTGGCGGGTGCTGCAAAGACAAATGAGATTTGCATTAGGGCCTCCTCATCAGGCCCCTTCCAAAGCGGCTCCTGCAGAGCAGAAACGAGTCATCTGCTGGGGGTGACTGCTCTTGGATCACTGGCTCGGGCTGGGAGGGGTACCCGGGGAGGGGCCAGGGAGAACCTACCACAGCGGCGAGGGAGAAAGCAGGAGTTTGGCGGGATCTGGCATTCTGGGCAGCACGGGGACAGTCCACCCCGCTACAAGCACCTCGCTGGGTCCCCCAGCCAGCGCAAAGCCCAGCCCATGCGAGAGCGTCTCTGCTGGATTTACACACGACACCTGGCCAGTGGGCCCTGGGGCAGACTCCCTGCCTTGCTGGGAGAGCTGGCTGGGCAAAGTGGGATTCCTGGCTGGGGAGCCAGCCGTACAGTACAGCCTGCCCAGGGCAGGGGCAACGCAGAAGAGTCACATCTGGGGCTGGGCTGGGGGAGCTGGGAGTTCAGCTCTCAGCATTCAGGCAGCGGGCACAGCTGGTCTGACTCTCCAGCGAGCAGCCCCACTGGCATCTCAGGACCTCTGGGTGACAGCCTGTCCCACGGCCAGCAGCAGGACTGGCTCTGATATGGACACTGAGAACAGCTATAAGCCTTACACCTGGGAAGCCGAAGCAATGGGAGTCAAAGGCGAAGGTGGACAGCAAAGCAACAGAACCAGAAAACGTTCCAGGAAACCGACACTTCCCAGAACGCGCCTCCGTCTCTCGGTAACCCGTAGCGCATACGTTTGTAGGGCATCTATTATTGAAAAACGAGGAGGACAGGCGCATTACACCCAGCCCTCGCCGCCCCCGAACACTCCTTCGAGCAGTCCTGTCATCTGCTTAGAATCGACTCCAAACCCATTTCAGCCTTAATGGGAGTTATTCATTTGCACTTGCAAGATAATACATGACAGCTGGGTATTTAACATGATACATCGGCTGCCGATGAACTCGGGGCTGGAATGTTCCCAGACTGGACCCCCATCCCGTGCCCTGCTCTTATTCCCATCACGGGAACCAGCCATGCCTTCCCTCAGAAGGGCCGTGGCTCACTTCCAGCCTGCTGAGGCGGGATTTATGCAAGAAACGTGCCTTGCGACTGGGCGCGCCCACGTGACAGGCCCCCAGCTCTGAGCACGCACGGAGAGGGAGTCGGGGACACTCCAAATGGACAGAAAAGGACCTCGCTCCTCCTTGGGTGCGCCCCCGTGGCAAGAGGCAGGCAGGGTACCTGGCAAGTTCTGTCACGTGGCTCCTAGCCTGCAGGTGCTTCAGTCCTGGGCTCCTGCCATGGTCTCATGCCCCAGGTCTCATCCACCCCCCAAGCACACGTGTAGGACCCCAGAGCACCGCTCAAGCCTCCGTGCTGCCCAGCCTGCCTCTGGCTCGTCCCTGCACAAGCAGCCAATGCTTCCCTGGGAAACGTGCAGCCCTCAGAACGCGTCACCATTGTCTTCCCCACACTTGCTGTGGGACCCCCCTCCCATAGGGCCCAGAGGCAGAGGAAAGTTACTAGAGAGCAGAGTTTGCTTTCCCTTTGCCTGCAAACAGCTGGCACAATGGGGGAGTCTGCCTGCCCCGCCCCACGCCAAGGGAACAGCCCTCTGGGGCCGATTCAGTGTCACACGTGCCAGGGTGGTAGCAAGGAGACGGAGAGGCGTCCTAGCTGGGGGTGGCAGAGGCTGCTTCGTGCTAATTTGCCGTGGCTGGTCCCTGTGTGGCATGAGAAGAGCGGCTCTAATGAGAAGGTTAATTGCTGCTGCTACTGGCCACTCCTCCACTTGACCTCAGCCATGAAAATGTCAACCACAATCTGGAAGTTGAGCATCAGGCCCCGGCTCTGTCTGCACCCGGCCAGGCACCGTGCAAACCGCGCTGCTTTCCCTGCTGGAGGGGACCTGACCACACTGAGGGTCCCCTTCCAGGGCCGGATTTCCTGTCAGGCCCAGCAGGCCCAGGCTCCTAAACGCTTCCGGGTATCAGCGGGGCAGGCTGGGGCAGCCCCATGCAGCCCTGCTGGAGCACGCCTCTTGGCAACGCAGCCCCTGGGGCGGGGGAAGAGCTCAGCACTCCAATGCAGGGGGCCCGCTGGGCAAGTGGGTCCCAAGGGAGCCTGGCTGGCCAGGCCCTGCTGCTCCAGCCTGGTTCAGCACCCCACTCCCAAGGGGGAAGAGCCTGGGCCAGACAGACACAGCCCAGCGGGGCCGGTGAGTGCAGCCACGGGGCTGAGCGAGGAAGGTGGGCAGTCGTGGGGTGGGGCTATGCTGGGGGACCGGGGGCAGGGGCGCTAGGCAGGGGGTAGCGGTGGGCAGGGTGCTGTGCAGTAGGGATGTTAAATGGCGTTTAATCAGCTAATCGACTAGTCGATAGAATTGCCATCGATTAGGTGGTAACGGGGGGAACTGCAGAGCTGCAGTGGGGTTAGCTCCTGGCCCCAGGCTGCAGCTCTGCCTTTTAAATGTAGTAAGAGCTGTCGGGGAGTAAGAGCCGGCAGCTGATTTCCGGCTTGCGTCCAGTCCCTGCTGTGCCTCTGCCTCCCCTGCCCCCACAATAGGGATGGTGCTGGGAGGTCGGCTTTTAAGCTGGCTCCCCCCAGCACGGGCTCCTGCTCTCCCCCACCCCACACTGCCTCTCTCTGATGGACGCCCACAGTTAGGGAGCCTGGCTCGGTCTCATGTCGAGGCTTCCTGGCAGAGCAGACAGGCTATTTGGAAATCGTTACTTCGGGAGTTATTTTGAAATTAGGGATGTAAGCGACTAGTCGCTTCCCTTCCCCTTGTGGCGTCTATCAGAGGCAGCCGGGGGGAGCTGGCTTAAAAGCCAGTTCCCCCAGCACCGTCTCTGTGGGGGGCAGGGGCTAGCGGGGAGCGAGTGCAAGCGTGGAATCAGCTGATTCCTGGCTCACACCCAGCCCTAGATGCTGCGCCTCTGCTTTTTAAATGTATTAGCAGCCTGCCAGCTCTGGATACATTTACTGGGCTGCAGCGCAGCGGGAGGGGCCTGGCGTGAGCCGGGACAGCCGATTCCCAGCTCATGCCAGGTCCCCCGGCTGTGCTCCAGCCTTGTAAATGTCTCCAGAGCTGGCAGGCCCCGCTGTGGTTCCCCTGCTTATCGACTGATCAGCTAGTCGGTGGAAAATCCATCAATGAGTGGACGAAACCCAATTTCACGTCCCTAGTTGAAATCCGTTATTTCCGAAGACTGTCCCAGTGCTGCCATGCCCCAAATTCGCCACCCTTTGAAACAGCACCCAGGCTGGCTTGGGCAGCGCCACGGCTGCCCACACTGGTGGAGCCAGCTTGGGATCCTCTGCTGAGGCAGAGCTGCCCGCAGCTTCCCCGTGGCCAGGCACCCCTGAGTTCTGCGACCAACCCTCCCCAATGGAGCCACGGCCAGTCAGCCAAGACACAGCACCGTCCCAGCCGCTCACGTCAGTGGGGAGCGTAACCCCAGCTTTGCTTCCCTCCCCTGAAACGCGAGGTGCTCAGCCTTCACCGCCCAGCACGGAGACCTGCCTATGCACAGCAGGGCTGGGGAGACGGCCTGGCTGTTGTCAGCGGTCTCAGAATGGAACATGCGATGCAGAAAATGCCCATTTGGGCCCGACACAGACCAAGCTATTGCGACTCGCCCGGCGGATGGCAGGTGCAAGTACATGAATGGTTCCTGTGGACACAGGGCTGGGCAGCGTGGCACCGGGCAGGGGGCTGACAAGCCCCTTCGCCCTCTGGAGGCAGCGGGCACGGAGACGGCATCACGCTGAGCACACCCAGTGATCGGCTCCAAAGCCGATGTAGGGAAGAGCCGCTTCCCCGCGGTCAGTGCGAAAGCCTTCTATCTCCAGCCACTGCTCACGGGCATGTCCCCTCCGCCACAGGCGAGATCCTGCCCGAGGGCCAGCGTGACAGTGCAGCAGGTAACTGGGCCTGGACTGGCTCATCTCAAGGTTCAAGAGGCTAGGACGACGCATTTCAGACCCACGACCTTTCTGTCCCCAGAGAAAGCAGGGCCTTCCGCCAGGCTGCCAGGCACTTGGCTCCCAACGCCCTTCGCTGGACAACAGCTGCTTTTCAGCACCGGGGGGAGGGTCGGGTCGGGTCACACTCTACCTTAAAGGGGGGAGGGGTGACCCAGAAGGGCTGCTCAGCCTTTCCTTTGCTAGCCTCAGAGCCGAGCACCGGCTGGACCAAAGAGCTGACTGTGCTTGAGCCTTGTGCAAGGCCAAGGCAGCCGCCACCCCCATGATTCACCCATCAGACTCTCTTTGCTAAACTACCCTGACAGCCCCTTCGTCTAAAGGGCCATCTCCCAACCCAGCAACCTAATGGAGGAGCCAATTACATGATTATTAATTCATGCTGCTTTCCGTAAGCCAGAGGTTCTCCTCTGCCGGCGTCCCGTAAGCCAGCCTGCCACCTGCCCCACAAACTTACAGCCCAGGTTTGCTACCTTGATTGATAAGGAAAACACTGTCCAGACTAGCTCAGCACCAGGCCCCCCCGAAGGCTGTTCTCACAGCCGCCCAGAAGCCGTTGCCCAGTGGGGTGGCTGTCCCCACAGGTCTGTCTCCAGCGACGGAGTCTTCAGACCTTTCCCTCCGGTTCTTCCTGGAGCAGCTCCGAAACGTTGCAGCAAACCGTGACCCTCGCAGTGAAATCTGCAGCCTCCTGTGGAGGGCTCTGTGGCTAGAGGGCCTCCTGACTCCTTTACACCGTCAGCAGAAAGGCCCCTGAGCGCCCCGGGGCTGCGTCTGGCAAGCCGGAGCTCAGAGCACCGACGGGATTATTGCACCCACGCCAGCTGCAGCCCAGTGGCTGAGTGGGGAGGCAGCATGAGGACACGGGAGCACTCGGCACTGGAGCAGAGGAACCCGGACCGTGGAAATTCTGCCTCGCTTGGGACCATGCTGCCAGGAGGGCTCTCTGCCAGACATGTGCCATTCCAGCAGGAACACGCCGTTGATACGATACCAGCGGAATACATCC